CTTTAAATAATTCACAATCCAGGCAATATTAATCATTAATGGTCGAGAGGCTAGAAAATATCCTCAAAAACCCAGCTTTTTCAATGATTTTTTTTTCATCAAATAACTATTGACGTTGAACGAGTGTAATTTTTTTGTTTGTCTCTTCTCGAGTTGAAAGGTTTCCAGATACAAAAACTTGTAATAAAACATGTCCACGAGATCCGGAGGTAACAATTTTATTCGACCAAAGCGCACGTTCTTGCTCATTAGAAATCCCAGCTGACAACTTACCAGTTTGACAAGATTTTAATTTGGAACCAATTCGAATTGCGATCCGATATAATCTCACTGAAACATGATAACGGTGAACCATTGCTGAAAATTAGTAGCGGTGAACTCCAAATCCAAATTTGGGAAATCTGACTTTTTTCCTTCTCCAATTTGGTTGGAGCAATCTGTTGATTTGGTAGAAGCAATCGTTTACATTTTTTGCAGTATTGAATAAAATCTCTCGCAAGCAATTTGTCAAAAACAGCTAAAATAGCAAGAAAAAATTTCCTTTCGTGATTCAATTCATCAATTTTCTAATCAAAATTTCAGTAAACATTGATAAATGAGATTTTAATTTTTTTTTAAAAACTCAAAAAAAAACGAGTCACCTAGCTCGCCTGAAGCCCCAAAACAAATTTTTATTTTTTCAGTAATTGATTTGTAGGTTTTAATTTATTTAATCTTTTTTATTTTTTGTAATTTTTTAAAATTTGAACATTAGTTAATATTTTTTGGATCCGTCCGATGACCTTGAGTATTTGACGTTTGATAAGGATATATAACCAATTGAGTTATCTCTCCCCCAAGCGAAACGGCAGAACACAACGAAGGCGTTATCAAATCAAACTCGAGCAGGGAGTTGCTATACAGATAGCATGCAGTTGAAGTTTTTATATCAAATTATTTTTTTTAATGAATTTTGGTTCAGATTTTCGTTTGACGATCCTTGGCTTGAAAAAAACAAGGTATTAAGTTATCAGGGCTGATGCTTCTCTACTTTAGCAGACCAAATACGCGACTAATTAGTTCATTTGTTCAGACTTAAACTAAATTTTTTGTCATGATTTTGTGAGTTTAGGGTTTTGATAATGTGAAATTTGGGGTTCAGCAGAGTGTGGTGCTCAATTTTATATAACTCAAACTAGTTCATTTAAAGTTTAAAAAATGCTGAGGGTACCAATTGAGCTACGCCCCCCCCCCCCCCACCCCCTCAGAATGTGTTTACTTAATCGTCGAATCAATGACAGGCAGACGGGTCTTATCTGGACAGAACATAATCGTCAAATAATTCAAAAAATTAAACAAAGAACGCAAATTGGCAATTAAATGAGAAAACGAACGCAGTTTGGCGGGGAACTAAAATAAGTAGGCAAAAAAACATTTAATTGTCACAGCTTGCTTGCATTAAATTTGACCGAAAAGGAGTTTTGCAGATTTACTGCAATTTTGTAATTATGACCAACAAAATGTAATTCAAAGGATGATTGAAAGCGAGTTTTTACACAGATCAAGCATCTGCTAAAACTGTGAGTCCGAGCCGAAGTTTATCGGGGATACACAAAGGAGAAACGAATACTGGTGGAAATTCTTCTATCTCAACATCAACACAGAGGCGAAGCTTCGCAAACACTTGCGAGAGAACACGACAAAAAGCGACATAAAATTGAACAATTAAAAGTAGAAATGAGCCTCGAATAAGTAATAATTCTGCTGCCTCTGAGATGCGAGCCTGCAACCAAGAGATTAAGGGTCTCACACACTAACCACTCAGTCACGGAAGCTTTAAAGAAACCAAAAACTAGCCACAACAAATAAAGCAGAGATCAGATTCTATGTAACTTCCAATGCTACATTGAAATTTCCAAATAAGCGAACATAATCAACGAACACTTTTATTTGCGAGTTAGGTTAGAAAAAAGAAGGTTCGTAATAACACACTATGCTGATTGCAAAAGTAACAAGGATAGCCGGTTACTGTGTAAGTAGCACAAAATGTTCCGACCATAGTCTTCGAAAAATACAACCAAGTTTTTTTCCAATTATTGTCGTTTTTTTGACGTGGTGTGATAAAAGGAGCTGAAGAAAAAAACAGTGTATTAGGTATAATCGATAGTCATACTAAAATAAGCAAATTGTAACAACAATTTTTGGAGAAAAATTATTAGAAAAACAAAAAAAATCAAACAAAACATTTTTTCAAGTTTTTTGAATGTTTATGAATTTTTGAAAAATTTGATTCCAAAAACGCCAAAATATTTAAAGTAAACAAACATCCCAAGTAAAACTAAGTTTTTATCTTTTAAATTCAGCTACTGTAAGCGTTTAAGTAATTAATCAATTAAAATAACACTGCTCGCTCGCTTCATTGCTTCATTCGCTCGAAATAAGACGAAAAAATCAAAAATTTCAAACCGGTTTTTCTCGACACTGGGAATTTATTTTTGAAATTATTCATGTGGTTCGAATCACGACTGTAAGGTCTTCATTATGATATATCACTCAACCCAGTCCGATGATTTTTTGTGGTACCTGATTTTGAGCGGAAAAAAACTAAAACACACCCGAATACAAAGTTCCTCCCCATTTTTCAAACGGTCGAAACATTTCGAGAACGGCCCAGGTCAAAACTGGCTAATTGGTCTCATTAATTCCATACACGGCTCTTAATTTTCAGTTTAAAGTTGGACAGTCGGAACATTCAAGGCGTTGCCCTGATACGAGCACTCTTGTTTTCCAATATGGTCAAATCTTAATTTGACTATATGATATTATATGCTAAAACAAAAGCATTTAGAATGTTGCATATTTAGATACAGTTGGTTTTGCAACAGCTGAGGGTAAATTTTTTGAGTGACACAATAAATAAATCTAAGATCGGTCGAGCAAATTTTTTCTTTTTTTCAGTCTTTAAAGTCGAGACAGTCGTCAAGGTATACCAAGGTATATCAATTTTTATCGAACCTGCAAAACATATTTGATTGAATTCAAGATAATTTCTAACTTTTCCTCGGTCTAAATAATTGGAGTATTTTGAATCATCGAAAGGGATACTTTTTTTTGGTATCTGCTGTTTTTGCAAGACAAAATGAAAACACAATAAATTGTGCTCCTGGAGCCGTGTTATTCAAAGCCCTCGAGGATGGGTGTTCTCGATACAGCTGTCCCGTATCCAACAATCAGACCGTGTTGTGTTCAGACCATGGTATCCAATGAAAAATCTGTATCCGTCCAAATTATCAATCAATCCTACAAGTGCGTCTAATTTATGGTTTCCAAAGTTTGTCTATTTACTGCGCGTCTTTTTTCCCTGTTCGTGAAAAACATATTTTCTCACACAAACCCCCGAAAAAAATCTTTTTTTGTTTTTGGAAATTTCTTAGCTCACTGAATTGACTTCGTGTTTAGAGGATATGAAAGAATGTGTACATAATTAGAATGGGTACATATTTCTTTTGAAAGTGGTACAGTTTCATCGTTGAGCTTTTCTTGAAATACTTTTTCAACATTTTTAAGTAACAGTGTTTGACCGTATTTTTCTACGTAGGAGAATACGGATTCCCTGAACCAAAAAAGGGTTTGAAAAATAGCGGTTTTGCCTATTTGGGATAATCATTTTGCACAGAATTTCCAAATTTCCATTATTGCGTTGCAGCAACTGCGATTGAATCTGGCTCAGAAATCAATCCAAATTAAATTGGGGCAGACTAAATGATCCTAAAATTGCATTATTAGACCCAAAACTTGCTACATATATGACAAACTTTTAAAAATTTACTGAAAACACATAAAAGGGCATTCAGAACAATCAGGAATCCATCCTGACACGAGAGTTCGTATTCATTTTTGCAATTAGACTATTCAATATTGTTAGTCAGAATAAGTCGACGTTGAAGTTGAATACTTTTTTTTTGGTATCTGCTGTTTTTGCAAGACAAAATGAAAACACAATAAATTGTGCTCCTGGAGCCGTGTTATTCAAAGCCCTCGAGGATGGGTGTTCTCGATACAGCTGTCCCGTATCCAACAATCAGACCGTGTTGTGTTCAGACCATGGTATCCAATGAAAAATCTGTATCCGTCCAAATTATCAATCAATCCTACAAGTGCGTCTAATTTATGGTTTCCAAAGTTTGTCTATTTACTGCGCGTCTTTTTTCCCTGTTCGTGAAAAACATATATTCTCACACAAACCCCCGAAAAAAAATCTTTTTTTGTTTTTGGAAATTTCTTAGCTCACTGAATTGACTTCGTGTTTAGAGGATATGAAAGAATGTGTACATAATTAGAATGGGTACATATTTCTTTTGAAAGTGGTACAGTTTCATTGTTGAGCTTTTCTTGAAATACTTTTTCAACAATTTTAAGTAACAGTTTTTGACCGTATTTTTCTACGTAGGAGAATACGGATTCCCTGAACCAAAAAAGGGTTTGAAAAATAGCGGTTTTGCCTATTTGGGATAATCATTTTGCACAGAATTTCCAAATTTCCATTATTGCGTTGCAGCAACCGCGATTGAATCTGGCTCAGAAATCAATCCAAATTAAATTGGGGCAGACTAAATGATCCTAAAATTGCATTATTAGACCCAAAACTTGCCACATATATGACAAACTTTTAAAAATTTGCTGAAAACACATAAAAGGGCATTCAGAACAATCAGGAATCCATCCTGACACGAGAGTTCGTATTCATTTTTGCAATTAGACTATTCAATATTGTTAGTCAGAATAAGTCGACGTTGAAGTTAGATGGCGTTGAGCTCATTTGCGCAGACGCATAAGGCGCAAAATCTACCAATTTAATCCTATCATTGCGGACGGGGGGGGGGGGAAGAATAGAAAACTTCAAAAAACTTAATCTATTTAAAAACTGTTTTCTAATTATGATTATTTTAGGTATGTTTCTCATTAATGGGCAGTCATAAAGTTCAGGGTTTTGCCCTGATACGAGCACCCTTGTTTGGTATTCGAATTCTGTTTGCTCAAACGTCTAAGTAAACTTGCCATATTGGATGACATGTACTAAGTGCACTGCTTTAACGAACTCAAACTAACTATATTGCCAGCCCAGAAAACACAATAAACAAACTGTTAAACCATGGCTATTGACCAATGCTTCATTAATTAATCGCTGTTACTCCGCTAATCATTACCACCTACTTTATTCTCTTCTTTACTACCTTCATTACAAAATACTTGCGTAATTCTGAAACAGAAATATTGAAACCAGTTTCAAATTAATTACCTTGTCGCGTTTCCAAAATGAGTTCGGAGCCCCAAGTCGAGTTTAAGGTAATGCTGTACTTTCTATAACGGATTTAGGGTGGGGGGCTGTCGACACTTAGCAATTCGACGGATCAATTGAGCAATCTCCCCCTTAATGACTAATTGAGCTATCCCCCCCAAGCACCCGGGTCAAACTGGTCGAAATGTGATCAGACCGAAGTAGGTCGAACAGCAAATTTTTCCGGACCGAAAGCACACTGCACACACCTGACTTCGGTCTGATATTCGAAGCACCATACTCAATTTCAGTCTGATGGTTGAACTAGGGTCGAATCAGGGTCGAACTAGAGTCGAATCAGGGTCGAACAATAGTCAAATCAGGGACGAAATTTATCAAACGCAAACAGATGGTTGATGTGTTCATAGCACGCAATCAATTGACCGAGAGAATTTTATTTTATATCGAGTCAAGAAAAATTTTAGAGAAAAAATCCGAAAAATGAAAACAAGATTAGAATTTTTGTTTGGTCGACCGTTGCCTCGAGAAAGTTCAAAATGTTAGTGCTCTAACCTTGTATCTGAATACCAAAAATTGTTCTCCGCAGCTTCTTAATAATGTTCGCAATATCATTTTTGTTTGCATTTCAGACAAAAAAGTCAGCTTTTTGCGCATCAATTTTAACGACTCTTTCGTTCTGAAAGTAATTTTTGAGTTTTGATATTGTAAATTTTGGTGTTGCACATTCGTTGGAGAATTTGGCTCACGATTTCATTTCATTCAAACTATTTACAATTGGGTATAAGCATGTCTCAAGTGCCTATTCAGCTATCTCTCCCTACGCGAGATTGGGGGGGGGGGATTGCTCAATTGATCCAATTCGACCCTCTGCCGACCCAAAGGGTCCCCTGTGGTACTATTTGCTGCTCGGGTCCCTGTCATTCAATTAAAACGTGCAAACATACATGTTTCGATGTATTAAAACCATGAAATAAAAACACATTGGACGGATCTATGCCCGGGCGCTTTTTTGGGTTTAAAGTTTGCAGGCAATAAAACACTAGTCGATTGTATTCTTTTGTCAGATTGCTGAGTTGAGAATTTGTTTCATCGTCGCTTTGTCAGAAATCAAACATCAATTTATGGTTTTTGCGGTTGGAAATTGATGATGTCCGTCAACATTCGCGGGGTACCCTTGCAGGGCGTCACTATGAATGACGCTTGAGGGGTGCCCTTGCAAAATATCACGTATCATTGCCAAAATTCTTTGAAATTTCTTTATGCTGAGCTCAAAATTTTTTCATGAAAAGGAAAACAACTAATTTTTGTCTTTATATCTAACTAACACTTGAGTGCAATTGCTTGGTCCATTTTACACTCGCACTATAAGGGCACTATCGCCCATGATTGCAAATTGTGGTGACCCGTCTAGCATAGAAGTACGTTTAAGGTGTTGTTCATGGGCCCGTTCAGGGGTGGCAAGACAAGTATTCTGGAGAAATACCTCTACGGAAAACCACCTCGTGATCACGTGGCATCCATGGGCACTGAAGTATTCCACAAAAAGATCATCAGGTACCTTCTTAGCCAAAAAAAACATTCTAATTTGTTTTCAAGATTTACTACAATAACAGAAATATAGGTGGTTTAAGCATCACGATGGCAAACTGTTCTCCTCAATCATATGACTAAAACATCGCTTAAGTTTGCTATAGAAGCAGATGAGTTTATGGATTCCGACAAAAAAATGAACCAAGTTTTTCATTTTTAATAAATTCGGTCTACTCAAACTGAAACTCGCTCTTTAAACAATTCACAATCCAGGCAAAATTAATCGTTTTGATCGAGAGGCTAGAAAATATCCTCAAAAACCCAGCTTTTTCAATGATTTTTTTTTTCATCAAATAACTATTGACGTTGAACGAGTGTAATCTTTTTGTTTGTCTCTTCTCGAGTTGAAAGGTTTCCAGATAGAAAAACTTGTAATAAAACATGTCGACGTGATCCTGAGGTAACCATTTTATTCGACCAAAGCGCACTTTCTTGCTCATTAGAGATCCCAGCTGACAACTTCCCAGTTTGACAAGATTTTAATTTGGAAGCAAAATTGTTGTAAATGCTTCGAATTGCGATCCGATATAATCTCACTGAAACATGATAACGGTGAACCATTGCTGAAAATTAGTAGCGGTGAACTCCAAATCCAAATTTGGGAAATCTGACTTTTTTCCTTCTCCAATTTGGTTGGAGCAATCTGTTGATTTGGTAGAAGCAATCGTTTACAATTTTTTGCAGTATTGAATAAAATCTCTCGCAAGCAATTTGTCAAAAACAGCTAAAATAGCAAGAAAAAATTTCCTTTCGTGATTCAATTCATCAATTTTCTAAGCAAAATTTCAGTAAACATTGATAGAGATTTTAATTTTTTTTAAAAAACAAAAAAAAACAAGACACCTAGCTCGCCTGAAGCCCCAAAACGAATTTTTATTTTTTCAATAATTCGATTTGTAGGTTTTAATTGCTTTAATTTTTTTTTATTTTTTGTAATTTTTTAAAATTTGAACATTCGTTAATATTTTTTGGATCCGTCCGATGACCTTGAGTATTTGACGTTTGATAAGGATATATAACCAATTGAGTTATCTCTCCCCCAAGCGAAACGGCAGAACACAACGAAGGCGTTATCAAATCAAACTCGAGCAGGGAGTTGTTATACAGATAGCATGCAGTTGAAGTTTTTATATCAAATTATTTTTTTTTAATGAATTTTGGTTCAGATTTTCGTTTGACGATCCTTGGCTTGAAAAAAAGCAAGGTATTAAGTTATCAGGGTTGATGCTTCTCTACTTTAGCAGACCAAATACGCGACTAATTAGTTCATTTGTTCAGACTTAAACTAAATTTTTTGTCATGATTTTGTGAATTAAGGGTTTTGATAATGTGAAATTTGGGGTTCAGCAGAGTGTGGTGCTTAATTTTATATAACTCAAACTAGTTCATTTGAAGTAAGAAAAAATGCTGAGGGTACCAATTGAGAAAATGATAGCTTTTACTTTTAGAGAGAAAAAGCTAGTATTAACACACAGTGTTATGTCGCAGTTTTACTTATCTGAGTTGTAAAGTTAGAACTTGTAGACTGTACTTTAAGCATATATACTTTTCAATGATTGTGCCCGATGTTTGTTGTTTTCAGCAATGACATTGTGGTGGGCATCAACTTCTGGGACATGCCTGGACAGGACAGGACGCCCAGTCTGTCTGCCCAGCTGGTGCGGGAGAGCCAGGCGGTCATTCTGGTGTTCGACCTCAGCGACAAGAAATCATTCGAGGAGTGCTCCAAGTGGAAACAGGCACTCGACACCAAGTTGGGTATCTGATTGTTACATTTTCGACATACTTTACAGTAGTCATGGCATCCCTTGGCTACATCCCCCCTCACTTCTTTGGGAATTAAACCCACTCAATCCTTTGACACCCCCCCCCCACCCACATTCTTGGGGAACTAAACCACTCACATTTCAAAGGGAAACCTAGCAATGATATAATAACAAAATAATTGTAAACTCGAGCGAGGCTTCACATTTGGAGGCCTAATCACGCATTGCGAAGAGCTTTCGAGGCGACGGAAAGGGGTTTAGAGACCTCGACGAGGCGGGAATTTTTTGTGCTCGGCAATTATATACTGATAAGCACAAAAAGGACATATTAAAAAAATTAAGGTATGTAAGAAAGACATTAATGAGTGACGTAGAAAACAGCACTTGAGAGAAAGTTTCTGATTTTTGAATAATTTAACTGTTTTGTTGTAAAAACTTTGCTCCTTTTCTTAGTACGAAAAACACAAAGGTTCAATTAATGTTTAATTTAGAAAAAGTACCGGTCTTTTTATTGGGAAACAAAGTAGACCTAGTTGCGAGTCAAAAGATGTCGGCACTGAAACGAGACATGAAAGAGTTCTGTAGTCGCAACTCCTCCAAAAACCCAATAGTCACCTACTTCATGGTCAGTGCCCTCAGCGACGACAAAGTTCTGACCGAGAGTTTGCAGCAGATTATAGAGCATCTTCTCACAATGAGTAATCCAGCGTCCTCTAGAAACAATGATAGTATTCCAATCGGACAAGAGAGGCCATCGCGAGAGAAGTCGTGCAAGTGTTCTTGATATCAAACTTGACGATTGATAGATTAATGACGAAATAGTTCTAACTTAATTAAAGGTTCTTTTTGCTGATAGATTAATGACGAAAAGGTTCTAGTTTAATTTTTCTTATTCTTACAGGTGGCAGAAGCAAAAGTTAATGATGTTAGCTTAGTTGCAAACAGTCAAATAAAGTGATCTTTTTGATTTTGTTTCAATGCAATGACAAAAAAACATTACGAAGGGAAGTATGCTGGGCTCAGGCTAACTTAAACCCGAAAATTGGAAAACAGTTGTGAAATTGTTTGCTAACTTGACTTAATTTTGAAACCAAATTTGATTTGTCAGCCAATTTAGAGCTAAAATATTCAATGTTAGAAAATTAATTTTTCTAAGATGCCATCGATAGTTTTTCAATTAAATCTGTGCCCGAATATTTTAACATCCCTGTTGATTACTCTATGACAGTTAGCAGCGAGAAATAATCGAGACGCCAATTCAACCACTTCAATTTTTTCGCAGTTTAAGCGCAAAGTTTTTATGAATTTTAGCATCAAAATGATCAAGTAATTTGATAGAGAAGTCTTGAGAGTCCTATCAAGTTTCAAAACTTGCAGAAATTAATCAAGCTTCGAACCTGCTCTGCCCACAAAGACCTTGCTTTTAATACTGTCACTCATGCTTTTTCTAGATACTCAGCATCAGCAAAAAAATCAAGCCGATGTAGCTAGTGCGCTTTAATGAAAATTGCACTAACATGTGCGTTTTTGAATGCAATAAAAGTCAACTGAATGTAAAAAATGTCGATTATCTCGAAAATCTAAAAAGAAATTAGACGATTCATCCACGAGGAAGAACACTAACGTAAGAGTTGTCTATCGAAAATCTTAAAACAAATTAGAAAAATTATCCATGAGGCAAAAGACTAACATAGGAGTTGTTTGTCTTTCACAGAGAACTGCTGTTGTGCCCCTGGTTAAAAATGACATGAAACTTATCGTTTTTTTTCTGACTAGGTAATGCGGGGTCAGCCCTTGAGCAATAAGCGCGGGTGAAATTGCAATGATTCGATTGAGAAGCCGATCTGTAGCCATCTCGCATCGCTCCCTTAATCTATTCAAACTCCCACAGACGGAACTCTTTCAAAATGTTAGTTTAATTTTTCTACTTGCATTGAAAAAAAAACACCGGGTACTTCAACGCAAACTTCTATCTAGCTAAACTACAAATGATATAATTTGCGTGTGCTAACGTATTCATATGCAGAAGCGAAGTTGCACTTCTAAACAAAAGCGGCAAAACGGCCAGAAATAAGCCTTAAGAACTAAAACTTTTGCTCTGCACCGTAATCGATTCTCCGACATGGAGATTAGGAATATCACGTGCTGGCATTTGCACCACGGTCGCTTGGACTTATACTACCCTTAGCCAACTATAAAGCAGTTACAGATGCCATCATATGGCCAATGCTTGGAATTATTAAAAATTCCACCAAAATAAGCCCTTCTATTTGCGAATTAGGTTGGAAAAAAATTGGTTCCTAACATTTCTAGCTAGCTCGCTTGTGTGAAGAGCGCATAAGTTCAACTTGGAATGATTTAATTTGCCGCTGATGCGTCTATACGGCGAAATATATCACGCCTTAATTATCACAATTTGAATCCAGTATTCTGAGTAGTCCCAAATTCCCTCCCTTATAAAATTACAAGAATTGAGCGCAGATAAAATATCTTTTTAACTCGCTCGTGATTTAAAAAACAATAAAACGGAATGAATTGGAGCTCCTCTTTGAAAAATTGGAATTTTTTTTAAACAAAAGCTGAGTATGACTGGAAATCCTGCTCAATTTAAAAAAAAACTTAAGCTCATTAAGCAATTGATCGACACGTCCAAACATTGCCTTAATATGAAAAGCTATTGCTCATCCAATTTATCAAAAATCATCATGAATCCTCTCTATAATTATAATAGAACGGTTTATAATCAAATCTAGAAATTTCATAAGGTTTCATCTCCGTTTCTGGAAGTTCGGTTATAGTTTCAAAAGTTGGTGCCAGTGTTCCGAGACTGTTTTCTTCTGTGAAAAAAGTGTAGACTCCACTTGGGCTCAAATGTCCCCCTCGAAAATTCTCTTGCGTGTCAGGAATTAATCCGTCAATCACAAGGGGGGTTATTTTGACCGCGTGTTTCACTTGCCATAGGAGATTGTTGACATATGGAGTGTTCGTCAGGATTTTAACTTTGCCTGGCGGTCCCAGCAATCCAAGTTCATGGAGAATCCTTCTTTCTTGCCAGATCACTGCAATAAAATTGATAATAATTAAAGCAAGTATAGCTCCTTTACAACAGGGTATTACGGCCAAAAATAAATAAATAGTTATTTCCGCTAATTTTTTCCAGTTTTTTTGATAACTTTTTTCAACCCATCAGATTCGAGCAGTATAAATTAATTTCTAAGAAAAAACCACAGCTTTGCGCCGGGCTTAGGACAACAACAAGCAGACGGGACTTCAAGACGAAAAATTAAAAAGACTGTTTAAACGAAAGCTTATTGCAAAGACAACAACAAATAGTGGACAATAGTTTTTCAAAGATAAATTATCATAAAATTGATGTTTTATAACGGAAAATTTTCTCATTGAGGTGATATTTATTTTTCGAATCATTATATATAGATTCTTCGCCTCATCAGGAGGAGATAAAAAGAGAAAGAAAAAGGGTAAAAGGACAATTAATTATTTAAATTAATTTTTAACTGAACTTGTTCGGAATAAATTTTACCTAATTACAAAGTGCTGTAATTACTGTCCATGGCGCAGCCGTAACGCGCCGAGCTTTGTCGCCGGATTGATAGGTTCAATCCCTTCTGGGAACCTTTATAAGTGGTTTAAGTCCGTTAAAAACTAAATTTTGACTCTTTTTAGTTATTTGCTTTGATTTTATTTGCTTTGATAATAGAAAAGTTCATATTTAGGTTGGAATATAAAACTGAAACTGTTTCAAAAACGAAGTATTTAGTGTGAAAAGCTCAACCTGATCACACGTGTTCGTTTCTACGACCTTTTCAAGTTAATTCTATCTTTAAATTCAAACTTTAGGCTTCCAGACCCTATTTTTTTCTACTCGAATTGTAGTCTCGATTAGAGCAAATTTTCGAGATTTATTGCCTAGCTTGTTTAGTATTTCAGTTCAGCAGTTTAGTGGTCAATTCGTAGTTACTGTTAGTGTTTAGTGTATTTACAGTTACTATTTACTGAAATTGTAGACTTTTGACACAGAGGCGAAGCTGCACTTTGATCAATTGACAAAAAAGGGGAAAAATCTAAAAAAGCAAACGAAATTATGCAATAAATACAAAAAAATCCCCTGAAAGAAACTCAACTTCAAAATGCAACAAAGACTGCTTGTATCAGTACCATACCTCGCAAGTTCCGACTGCCCCGTAGCGCCTATGGAATGCTTTTATATTTTAACACAGAGGCGAAGTTGCACTTCGCATACACAAGCAAAAATATGACCGATAACGCTACTGGGAAAACTGATTGAGTAAAACTATGAGTCTACAAAAATTCTTAAGTGACGCACGCCTATTATGAGTCTACATAATTTCAAAGTGACGCAAGCCAATTTTGACGCATTAGCAGTACCATTCAACTTGAAAAAAAAAAGAAATTTACCAGCTAGCATGCCTCAATTTATAGAGCGGATGAATTTTAACTACTATACGAAAAATTTCATTAAAAACATCCGACCCTGCCCTAGGTTCGAACCCTCTTTTTTGTTGCGAGTCTCCTTCCCTACCTCTACGCTACAGATACCTGGAAGCTAAAGTGCTGTTTGTAATATAATATAATAGTCTTTGCTAATGGCTGTACTTAAGAGCTGGTTATTGATCAAAACGAACACATTTTGTCGCGACAATATTTGCGTCGCAGCAATATTTGCGACTTCGGTTGGAAAAGAAAGAAACTGTGTATGTATTGATATATCGCGTTATTTGTCCCAAATTGGCTATTTTCAAATACCTATAAATTCAGGAAAAAAATCGCAGCTAAAAAGTTTTCAAAAACTGAGTTGTAGACATCCATAGCATTCAGAGCGTATAAATTCCGACAAAAAGGAATATGCCTTCTGCCAAAAAAGGCTAGTTAATAAGTCCAAATTTATCTGGAGAAAAAAACATTCCGATCACAATTATTCCTTCTATCAAATTGCCAATTTATAATCTCCATATTTTGTGCAAAAAAGATTGCGGGTTAAATGTCTTTTGAAATTTGAACTTAGTGTGATATCTTAAGGGGCGTATGAAAATTTCCCTCTTAAATATTACTTCGATAATCTTGGCGCTAAAATGTGATAATACCGTCCGAAAAAGTGAACTGACGTAGAACACCACGCTCGCAAGCTAGCTTGAGTAATGAGGACCAAAATTATCTAGTTTTTGTGGGCGTGATATTTTCTTCCATTCATTTGTTATCGCCAAAATAATGCAGGTCAATTTTTTTCTGTTGCATATCAATTTTTCTGTTGCATATCAACTTTTCTGTTGCTCCATATTTTTTTCTCATAAGTGAACAATTGAACCCGCCATTTTTCGAGACTCGCAAAAAGTATAGAAAGTTTTCTTAGAAGCATATATTACGACTATAAGAATTTTAATTTGATATCTTATTAGATCTTGAGCGACGCTTAGTTGTGGTACCTGATTAACGTCAAAAAAAATAGCTGAAGTTCTCTCCGCCGTCGGTATTAACAATTTAACTAATCAACTTTATCAATAAGTGGATGACACCGATTTTAAAACAACCCAAAATCATGTTAGATTCGTTTAACTCGCCAATGCAGCAACCCACAAGCTTTTTTGAAAAAAAAATAAGTTCAGCCGTCGAGCTCTGAAAAAAACCTTGAATGACCTTGAATTCGTGATATTTTCTACACGGCTTGTCAATGTTTTTGGAAGGTTTTAACAAAAAAAATTCGTTTTGTTCAGCGCGCGCTCCCCCTAAAACGTACTGTACAAGGGCGTCAACGGGGCCTTAAGTAAACTTGTAATGTTGTTCAGTCAGAAACGTCTGTCCTAAATTAGTATTAAAGGAGGATCCTTTGGAAAACTTTCGCAACCAGAATTGAGGAGTTGGAGCATTCGCTTACCCATTTTGTTCAGCCTGGTCACGACGTGCATTTTGTGAGGTTGTTGGCTATGTTGGTCTTTTTCAGTCATGGCTGCTGAACTTTTCAGGTATTCCGACATTTGCTCTGGCAATTCCACTGCATGCGGGTGTTTAGTGATCAATACTTTGGCACCCGCCCTTCTGGGTCTTTTAGGCGTGTGTCCATGTCGCACAAAACATTTACCTCCCAGAGAGATTGAGTTTAGCAAAGACTGCACACAACTTTGCATTATCAACTAGTTAGTGGTCATTTCATCTGAAAATCAATTAGCGAAATACATCAGATAAAGGATTCAAAATTCAAGATTTGCAACGTTCGCTCATCTTTCCACTTGTATCAAGCCTATTTATAGCAAGAGTCTTGTAACCGGAATCGGGTACAAGACTATTTTTTAGTGAGCAACTTTGTGCATTCCAAGGAACGTGTTTTTGGGGCATGAGATTTCAGAAAAACAGCGGACCATTAAGGAACAGTCATTTTGTGAACTCGATTCAGTTTTGAAATAGTTCTCGCAAGCGTTTTAATGTTCACACCAAGTATATTTACACTTTATTGAACTATTGATATTCCTATTGACGACATTATTTTTGGCTTTGTTTGTTTGTTTACTGAATCAGCTTCCTTATGTGCATAAGTGGAAGCAATTTGAGGGAGAGTTTCAATATGAGGGAAGAAATATTTTCCGAGTTTTTTCGGCTTCATCGATTTGCCACATGGTTTAACAACTTCCGCTCCTATCTAATTTCTTTTATTTTCAAACGCTGGGTCTAAGCCGATTTTTCACCTATATCTGAAGCTCAATGAATATTGAAAAATTTTAAATAATAGTTTCAACATGACTGATCGTATATCATGGCAGAGCCCTGAATGTTCCGACTGACCTCTAATCCACTGTCGAATAGTTTCTGCGAGAAGATAAATTGTAAACATAGCCAACCGAAGATTGGAAACAGGGTAATGAACGCAAGTAAACATAAAAAAAACACTGACTTTCTTGAAAAAATCTCAACTTTCGAATTTCAAAGAAAAAAATTGATGCCCTTTAAACTATTTGAATTTCTAAAAAACTTATGATTGGCGCTTTTTTGTTAACATGAGCCCAACTAGAGAAAACTGGATCAATAGGTAAAGTTTTTATTCCGCTGGAAATCTAAAAATTAAAATTCCACTTTCGAAACTAGAAATCGTTCACGTTTTTTCGGACCATTTCTACGTTCGTTTTTTGGAGAGTGCTATATAGGTCACTTTCAGCAGATGAATTTCAATTGAACTCGAAAAAGTCATATATACCTAAGTGCATTCATAAATGCATCAATATGTATGAATGCACATCTGTAGTTACTAGAGACTTTTTAAGACTTTTCCTGAAAATAAAACTAAAAAAAAAATCAGCAAGACCTATATAAGAGTCTTCACTGCATTCATTACTCTTAAAAACTATGACCATTGGACATTGTCAAAGATCAAAGGTGAATATTTGAGTCGTACAAAATCACACAGAGACGAAACTGCGCTACGCAAAGACATGCGAGAGCACGACAAAAATCAGCTCTATGAATGTTGTAGGAAAAAGTAGAAATGAGCTTTGACTTAGTAAAAAAAAAGTCGGCTACGTCTGGGATTCGATCTGCGACCTAGAGATTACGAGTCTGAACCACTAACCACAGACGCTTAATCAATCACAAACGCTAGCCACAAATAAAACAGCGAACAGATGCTATGATATTTCCAATGCTACAAATCGTGATTATAACAAAAGTGCCATTAAATAAATGAACACTTTTATTTGCGAGTTAGCTTAGTAAAACAGAAGGTTCGTACTCATACACTAAGGCGCGCAAGCTCGCTAGTAAAAATATATCAATTTGGAACAATTTTTTGTGCAACTCTTTAAATTTGATTTCGAGGAGTAGATATATTCAATGGAGCATAAAAATTTTTCCAAAACAATTATTTCTATCGCTAAAAAAATGACTGAATAAAAAACCACACCAAGCATAAATAGTATGTTTTCTTCGGAAGTCGGAACAACATCACTTAAGTTTCTATAGACGTAGCTGCACTGATTCGTTTATTTCGTTTGCTTGCTTTTTTTCTAACCTTTCTATCACTTATATTATTGCTCCGAACTTCGAAGAAAACAGAAAACTTTGGCTTGGGATGTTTTTTTTATTCAGTCAATTTTCGCCAATCAAAGTAATAGTTTTTAATACAAAAACTTTATACCCCATTGAAGATATCGACTCCCTGAATCAAAACGTAAAAAAATATTCTGCCTCCGATCGTTTTTTGCGAAGTTCTGGGAGTTTGAAAATAGCCAATTTGGACGTGCTGTGGACTAATTTATGCACGCTTTGAAGGTTCTAATGATAATGCTGCGAGCGTACGTAATTTATTAATGCGTCGCGAACTATCACGCGCAATCAAAATGTTCATAGTGAAAATTTTATTTGCGAGTTAGAAAAAAGAACGTTCTTACTAATACACTACGCTGCTCGCTAGAGTAAAGATGAATGAGTAGCCGGGTTAAACAAATACCCGGGTTGAACTCCATAAACCAAAAATGCTTATCTTACACTTCCATACACCGAAAATGCTTATCATACAATTCCATACATCAAACGTATGAAAAAATGCTAATCATACAATTTCAAAAAAAATAATCGAAAAGGTTCGAGCTAGTTTCTGCGGCTATTTGAACCAAATAAAACAGTCTGGTGATGAAAAAAAAGGTTATCATATAATTTCCATATATGAAAACTGTATGCTAGCAATTTTTTTTGATAGCGACAACAAAAATTTTATTGTTGTTGTTAAAGTAATATTGAAATTGCCCCTATTTTTTTTTCAACCGCAAACCGAATTTTGTACTCAAACATACATTTTCCAAAAAAAAAATTGCATGCGAATTTTTTTGTCTGCATAACATAGTTCTGGATACACAAAAATTGGATTGCTTTCCGTTTCTCTGGATAACTTCTTTCAAACAGGCTAAAAACTCGTATTTCTTTGGTAAAACTCTCATCTTGGAAAAATGATCTTTGAAATTGTTCGCCTAAATTCTTATCTTAAAAAAATGATCTTTGAAAATGTTTGCCTAAATTTAAAAGTTTGATGCTTTCAGTATATGATTTGTGAAGAGAACTATTACACAACTCAGGTCGTTTCCAATGCATTGTAAATGCCAGAAGATCAACCCTTTGGTGCCTCTAGTTCTGAGTAAACCATGTTTTAAGTCACTTGTTTTCGGTCACGAACATATCCCAAAAAATTTGAGAAATAAAATGTTTAAAAAAATCAATTTTTTGGTATATGAAAAAAAGGCTTATCCTATAATTACCATATATGAAAAAATGCTTATCTTAGAGATTTCTTAACATTTTCTGTATCAATGGAATTGCACGAAATTGTATGATAAGCATTTTTCATATATGAAAATTGTATAAGCATAATTGGTCAACCCGGGTATCTTCTTGGCTAGAACTTTTCTGGCTATTTCTGTAAAAAACAACATTCAATTTGACAAGCTTTATCAATTATACAATTTAGATCGCAAACATATTTGGTTTTGTGACAAAATTATAAACAGGTTATAACACAGCTCAAAATCATCAGCAGCAATTCATGTTGAGGTCAAGTCAACAACTCGTAACAAACAGCCTCTTCTATTGCAATTTCCATACTTATCAATGTACAATCATATTTCTTTTCTTCCGTCTGCTACGTATGTTCACGCCTAGTTCACCAGTCGCAGTCGTTTTCTCCAATCAGCTTAGTCGTCGTCGTTGTCCCCCTGGGGTCCCTTGGCCTTCGGTCCTCCAGCCTGTTTGGCCATAATAATCTAAATAAATCAGATTTGATCATATAATTTCCAAAAGATCGTCTTTATAATCACTCGAACGTAATGTGTCAAAAATAGGAATGTTATTTTTTAGTTGTTTTAAGATTTTCCCAGATCACCCAAGCAAAATGAAATTAAGCTCCAAATTGGGTCAAAGCCAGTTCAGAATATGTACTATCGAAACTGACATCATTAACTAATTCCAAAAAAAATTACGTCAAAAAAATGCTCCTTAAACCAAAATTGAATTTTCTTTCTGCTCTGAACTTCTTTTTATAGCGTCTTTTTTTCTATATTAAAAGATAAGCCTTCAAAAAAAAACAATGAATAAGCGTCACCTGGTCTACTTGTAAGACTGTGCATGCTGCCTTGGTTGCGAACTTGAGTGCCCACCATTTTACGTAATAGGAGTCCCTGATAGGAGCCACTGCAGTGCCCGGGGAGGAGGAGGGGGAGGCTGCGTCTCCCCCTGAGGCGGGGGCTCCGGTGGGGTTGGAGGTGTCGGTTACATTGGGCAACTCGCTCTCTATGTCTACTCCAGTGGTCACTCCTCCCGCCTGGTGGGCTGCGTACAACTGTGACAGCACTTCGGCAGACTAAATGACAACAATAATAATAATTAGACTAAATAACAGCTTATAATAATAAACCCAAACTATCGCTGCTTCGTTTTTTGTTCACACTAATCATCATTGAACTTTTTTCATTAACATTTTTTGCATACTGAATCATTTCTGAACACTCCTCTCAAGTTATAAGCTCTTGTTATTCAATTACCACAACTGATAGACACATGATATCATCAATGACTACCTTTAGTTTCATTATCGTCAGAAATTACCATTGCTTACTGAAACCTTATAAACCCACTTTATGTTTTCAAACAAACCTTGACACCGCAGTTCTCGGCCAACACCTTTGGTACACTCTCGAGCGCATCTGCAAACTTCTTGATCGAGTACTGCTCCATGCCTGGACACGTCTCTGCATGTTTTTGCAATTTCAAAGCCAGGCCAATTTCTGCCGCCCCCGCCCCTGGAACTGAAGACGCGTCCCTGGTCAGGGCCTTAAAAGTGTTCACGCCATCATCGATCGCTCGTTCCACGTCATCCATAAGACTGTCAGTGGAGCCTCGAATGACAATAGTGGCTATTTTGCTATCTTCGTCCGTTTGTTTCATCACTACACAATTAGTCTCTCCAATTTCGGTGATGTAGCAGTTGTTTATGAATCCAATCTCTTCAGGCGAGGGTTTCATCAGCTGGGTAATTATGGTTGACTTGGTGACTCGAGCGATTCTTCTCAGGTCGAATTTGGAAGGCACTCTGACGACTAGAATGTTGTTGAGGTTGAGGTAGTGCAGGGCCAGTTCATGGACCTTGCCGCCTGTTACGACTACTTCTGCCCCGGAGTCCACAATATCCTTGATACGCTGAAACAAAAGCACATATAGTTGGACCCTCGCTGATTAAGTAGTGATTTAGTAGATATTAAATTTTCCGTACAAATTTTATCATTTAGTAGATTAATTGAAATTTTGGAGAAGTTTGATTCCTTTGTTTGAAAAATAATCCTTCGATTTTGTTTTTTACACCTTTTGTTTTTAACTCCCGTTTCTTTGTTCTCGGATACATTCCAAGTTCACTTCATTGTCTTTTCTTAATATACAATTAGCCAAAAAGTACCCTTTAGATCAATACCCGACTTTTCTTAATTTACCTGTTCGACGGCATTTTCCTCTCCCTTCGAGAACGACTTCAGCTCTTCAGCGTTGTTGATCAAAACTGTACCCTGAAACAAAACAAAAAAAAACATTTCACGATCCTAAAAAAATCACTTTTGCGATTTCAAATAATTCAATTCAATTCATTTATTACTTTAATGTCTAGTTGGAATAACTATCCCCACCAACTGATTGCGCTCAATCATTAGAGATGAATTGAATTTCTGATCTTTAAGTCTGTCATCTAATTTGAAAAACGCTGCAGGTTTTTTCTCATGCAAACATTTTTGGTTCAAACTCAAGTAGCCCATACAGTTTTGAAAAAAGCCCCGAACCCACTGCTAACAAGAGTTGCTTACCGCCTGCATGCATGCATTTCGTTTCTGGAATTCAGTTTGCTCTTACCTTAGTTTCGGTGCTGAGGAGTTCGAGTGGACAAGAGTAGACGGCAACTTTGGCGTTGACTGCCTCGTTCCTAGTGGTCTCCGTCTCCCGCTTGAACACCATGCCTTTGCACACCTCTGAGCTCAGCAGACTCGCTCCCAATATCTTGCAGATCCTCACGTGGTCCACGTTGAAGTTCAACTTATCCGCAGGCAAAGACGAGACTACGCAACAAAATAAGTTCACATTTATTGTAAGCTTCGAACCCCCCTGGCCCCCATGAAAAAAGTAGCGGACTTAGGGGGGGCGGGGAAGCCCCCCTCTTCTTAGGGATTCGACCCCCTGAATACCCAAAGGGTCCCCCAAAAGACCTCCATTTTTGGCTGACTGAACCTAAAATATACAACTTTTGAGGAAGAGCCGCGCCGAAAGACATGATTTTTTGGTCAAAAACTGTCCAAAAAGTGCCTAAACCGCTTTTTTGGCCTGTTTTTCAAAAACTCGCCAGCAGCGCAAAAAAAATGAGTAAATCCATCCTACTAATCCATGATACTCGCTGCACGCCCGACAAAAAAAGTCACACGAGTGCAAACAAGATAAGTTTTAAAAAAGCAATGATTGTATAGGTGCGCGCATACGGATCAAAATGCCCAAGAAATCAGATTATTAACTTTTAAGAATTATTTTTTATACACGCGTTTGTAAACAGTGCTTCTATATGATTTAAGAAGCCCCTTCTCCTCAAAGTAATTATACATTTGCACAACAGGAGCGTTCAAAAAAAATTAAGGGTGAGTCTAAGGATAGAATTTTCAAATTAAAATAGTATCCAAGGCCACCCTTAAGGTGACTACTGTCGATTCACAAGGAAAGAAGCTCCAAATCCGACTCTCTAAATCCGCTACTGGTTGTGAATTAAAATTGTCAATGATATGACAATATGACTGACTATTCAGAACTATTCTATCAGAAACAAGTATAACTCACTGCATGCTTTGGCGATGAGTTGAGAGAGGAAGTCTTCATATCCGTACTGTTTGCTACCCACTGAAGTGTTGAGAGCTCTAGCTACCTCAGCCTCGTCCCTTAGATTCTGCACTGGACAGCCCTTCATCTCATCCAGACACTGCAGTGCCTTATCCAGCGCCTTCTCATAACCCTCGATCACCTCAGTCGGGGAGAGACCCTGACCGGAAAACAAAAAAAAAAGCAGTTATTCAGTAGATCATAGTGTTAATTTTTCGTGACCTTTACACTTTTGCTGTTCGATAGTTGAGTTTTCCTTCACGAATGAAATGAAGTGAACTTAAAAAATAATTTCCTTTATTTTCACAAATGAAATGAACTTGAAAAAATAAAAAGTCAAACCGCAAAAAAAAATCAAATTTTAGCGTGAACAGATTTTTAAAAAGGCTTACTGAAAAAAAGACCTATATAAGATTATTCACTACGCTCATGACTCTCAAAAAACTCAGCATAAGGCTACAAATAAAACTCCCAGAAGAAATAAACGCTGAAGCTATCAAACTTTAGCATGGATAAAAAAAAACTGTTCATGACTCTTAAAAACGGTATAATAGAAAAAGTAGTTCTAACGAAATTGAGTGTAAGCTATTACTGAACTATTCAACCTAACGCTTCTAATATTTGATCAAATCACCTAATATGCTTCATCTAATCACTTCAATAATCCTTGAAAATATGAATAACTACATACCATTCGGAGTAGTTCCTCGGCCTCGCCCAGCAAAGCACCCGCTAGAATCAGGACCAAATTAGTCCCGTCGCCACACTCCTTCTCCTGCTGCTGGGACGCCAGCACCAACAGTTTAGCCGCCGGATGCTGCACTTCCAGTTCGTTCAGAATTGTGGCAGTGTCCGAAGTAACGAACAGCTTCTCAATGTGGTTGATCACGATTTTGTTCATGCCGTTCGGGCCGAATGCAGTGCGCGTCGTCTTGGCCAGCTCCTTGCACGCCTCAATGTTGCGGTACACCGCCTCGTCTAGACCTTGGTAGTGCTGCAAACAACATTTAAAACCTCTCATACTTGGTGCCATTTTTTGCCGAGCAGATAAAGATAGATTTGGCGCGTGATAGATCAAACATCTTTTAGAACAAAATTTCAATTTCGACTAGTGTGCAGAGAGGCAAAGCGGAGCTTCGCGCAACTTTGCAGTATAAAATGTTTCACTTAACACACCGACAAGTAACTCAGCCAGCGGCATACAGCAGTCACATGTTTGTCCAAAATACTTTTTCGAAAACCTACGAGTTGTTCTTATTGCACCACATATGATAGTTTACAGAAAAAATATGGTAATATAGCCGGTAAAATAGCAGACAAAAATTAGACTAAAACTACAAATTCAACAAATCAACTTATCTTGATTTTTTTGAAAAACAACGACCGGCGTCGAACTATCACTGGAACCATATTTACACATTGGCAACGGAGCCGACAATACTTGGGCAGATGCCCGTTCATTACAAGGCCAAACTGGGCATTTAGTGAATTCTAAACGAATTCCGCAACAGAAAAAATCAGATATCGAGGAATACGCAACATTGCAACTTTTCTTTGATCTTTTTTGCTGTTTTGGATTCCACAACAAATAGCTAAAACACTGTACCGCTCAAAACCGCTCCAAAATTAGACAAGTTTGCGGAATCCACAACATTATTTGCGGAATTCGGAACAGCTTGTGGAATCCACAAACAAATAAGAAAACATGACATGTGTATAGAAAATTATCCAATAAAGCCATAACCAAAAACTCAATTGGCGAAAGCTTGCTGCCTGTAAAAACACAACCCTACCACTTCTAAAATTTTTACAAAACCAATTACATATAATTGAGGCTTAAATGATAACACAAATACAACATTAACTGCTGTTTTCAGTGAAACTATTTCGAAAACAACAAGCTAGTTCGAAAACCGAGCAGCATTATGCTTTCGAGAAACTTTCATGCAGTTTCGAAAAAATGTTTGGGGTCGTATATCCTTCGCATACTCGTATTCAAAGTTTTTTTTACAAAAACAAAACAACTCCTGAAAACTGAAAACTATTCACAAAAAAAACTTTTGCATTATATGTAGGCCAAATCAAAAAGACAAAAAAAATCGTGGAAGCCTATTCAGAAAAGACTGTGCAAAAAATGACAGATACCTGCGACCCAGCTGAAGTTGGAGGTTTGATATTTTTTTTAAATGAGTTGTATTTAAGCGTGGTGCGTAATTTTCAAAATGTTACAAATTGCACTTTTCCAAGTCCCTAGAAGTTTCCCTGGCATATGAGGAACAGCCACTTATACAAGTCCCTAGAAACAGCTCTTTCGATTGAACCTTTCAAATTTGACAAAATTCAAAAATGGGTCAAAATTATCTAAGATTTAAACATTCCCAAAGTCACAGGGAGTGGGTTAAGGTAAAAAGAGACTTGAGGAACACACAGAATAGGAGCTGCCTTTTTCATTGGCATCTTTCAAGTAAAAACAATGAAATAGAAACAGAAAGAAAATGAAAAATCCGATTCCATTCATTTTTATCATACCTGCTTTTATGAAATGAGAACTCTGATAAAATTAGAAAAAATACTAGAATTGTTTAAGTCGCAAATTTAAACGCCGAAGCGAAGCTGAGATTCAAAACTTTAGTGATAAAAATGTGCAAAAACTATTGTGTACCAAACTTACCATAAAAAACACTAACTTATCTCATATAGTTCAAACAATCTCAATGTTAAACAATTAAGAACGAAATAGCAATTCTCAAACCCTTCTGATTTATAAAAAGTCACTCGACAAACTCAAACAAGGCGAATGAAACACCTAAGAAGAAAGACAACGGAACATTTTTTATGCCGTAGTAGTACGGGCATTTAATGTTTTCAAATTACTTCAATCATGAGTCAAAAGTTTAAGCGAGGGCGCTATTCATGGCTTTCTTCTGATTTAAAGTCGAATAAAATTTAAAAAAATGTTGACAAAACCTCAAAAATTGTTTTAAAAAAACGAAAAAATTTCAAAAAATCTTGAAACTTCAGCAAAAATTCTTGCCACGCAATTACTAGAGTTGCTTAAGTCACAAGCCAATTCCGAGCTGTAACAACTAAGCTGACAAAATTCAGCAGACAAACGAAAGTCATGCAGAGATTTTTTGTCACGTGGAAATATTAATGTTTCTGGTTACAAAAAAAAACTGGTCCTGGCAGGTTCAACCAAAGGTCTGTGCTTTCGTAGGTATGTGCGTTATTACCTCTACTACAAAAGAGTGTATAAGCGCCGTGATTTTAATTTCACATGAACGTAGCCGTCGAATGATTCAAGTGAACTATTTGTTAATCTGAAGAAAACAGTCTACCTTCCCGTTTGATAACGCTTGCCTTAATTGCAAGCTAAATGACAAAAGGGACAATTTTTTCTCTTTTTTGCCCTGCGCTTTCGAGTGTCCCAAATCATTATCTATCGGTTATTGCAAGAGGAAGTGGACTGACCTTGGCGCCATCCTTGAGCATTGAGGCGAAGCCAGGAGGAAGGGGTACAGACATAGCCATGTTTAAGCAGCAAATTAGCACAAACAGAAATCTGAAAAGAAAACAGACTATAATTACAACCATTATCACTCCAATTCCAGACGTCACCCCATATATTATATCAATTCGCTTCTCTCAGACCGGCTTTTAACAATACCGCCTAAATTAATACAGGTTACCAATTACATTACTTTGCGAAACTTAACCAGACAATGGGTGCGCCAGAATATCAGGTGAATTTAACTGGTCTGAATCATTTTTGGTTGTGATTATAGCGGCACCTAATTGCAAGAAAGCATCTCTTATTTGATTCAATCTTCGCAATCATCTAAAATCATCTAACTCCAATATCATTTATTATTTTAGATTAATACTAATTATCATCACAAGAAAACAAATTTGAAGTCACAATTGAATTGATTATAAAAATGCAAAAATATTTGAAGTTCAAAAAACTTCATGATTTCGAAACAATTTTTCCATGAAACGAAACAAACCATTACAAGTGTATTAGTCGCGAACAGAAAGTTATAATAATCCTAGAAGCTTTTGATACAGCACATCAACACCAAACAAAAAGACTATTTTTGACTAGTCAAAGTTGGAGTCATAATAATCTAGCTAGAACTATTACTCCTTATATATCAATGTTTTTGAATTGAAAAAGTGTAACTACACTACTAAGATTGCAAGCGAATCCACACAGAATGCACACACGGATTTTCCATGCCTGTTACATTGATTTTAAAAAAAAGCGTTTGATAAAGTCTGTCACAACACACTTTTAACAAAACTCAGAAATATTGGAATTGGAGGAAGACTCTACAAACATCTTGAAAGTTATCTCACAGATCGGCGACAGATAACAGTTATTGGCAGTGCCATTTCAGGCTCCATGATAATATCAAGCCGAGTTCCCCAGGGCTATATTCTGGGCCCTCTTCTCTTCCTCTTATATTAACGACCTACCCGATGCTATCTGCTATTCTTCAACATACGCGTTTGCCGGTGACTAGGGTTGTGCGGGTTTACTTACTAGTAAAACGCTCGATTCTGATGTTAACTTGGTCCCCCCTCCCCCAAAGTCGGCTCTTTTCCAGTCCCCCCCCCCCCCCCACCTTTCAAAATACCGAGTTTTATGTTTATTTTACGGGTTCAGAACAAATGAAAAGACGTGCTTGTCGCGGTAGCTTGGTTTCTCCGCTGGCAAGCCCTTTCCGTTGTACCGCATGTGAAATGCGTTTCATAAGGGAAGTACATTATATCAAACACGTGAGAAATAGACACGGAAGGATAACGACGACGCCAACGTTAAATCAGGCCACAAACAGTCTGAATAGGGTTGTGCGGACTTACTTAATAGTAAGTAAGTTACTAGTAAATGTACTAGTAACTTACTAGTAAGCAAAATAAGGCTTATTACTAGTAAGTGCAGGGTGTGGAGGGCATCAAGCCTGGATAGCAGAGATTTAACATTATTTTGTTTGGTTTCTCTCAAATTTACCCTCTCTTTTGCAGTTTCCTTTTGTTGAGTGGCCTCTTTCATGCTTATAGGACAAAGGCTTGAGATTAATTTTAGCGTTAGAAAATAAATATAGGCCATTAGTGTTATTATTGCGATTTCTTATTTTGGTACTCATTTTCCTATCCAACTGTCTCAAAAACAGAATGCGATTCCTCCGGTGATAAGAAATCAGTCGCGTTTGTACCACAATATGATAACGCGAAATAAAGAATCTTTCAACCCCCCAAGAAGAGTTAATTCTCCCTCCCCCCATCCCCCAAATAAACCAAGTTAAGATCCTCCACCCTAGCGCTAAATTTAAATTAAATTTGCTTAGCGCTGCATGGTAAAACGCTCGATTCTGATGTTAACTTGGTCCCCCCTCCCCCAAGGTCGGCTCTTTTCCAGTCCCCCTACACCTTTCAAAATACCGAGTTTTATGTTTATTTTACGTGTTCAGAACAAATGAAAAGATGTGCTTGTCGCGGTAGCTTGGTTTCTCCGCTGGCAAGCCCTTTCCGTTGTACCGCATGTGAAATGCGTTTCATAAGGGAAGTACATTATATCAAACACGTGAGAAATAGACACGGAAGGATAACGACGACGCCAACGTTAAATCAGGCCACAAACAGTCTGAATAGGGTTGTGCGAACTTACTTACTAGTAAGTAAGTTACTAGTAAATGTACTAGTAACTTACTAGTAAGCAAAATAAGGCTTATTACTAGTAAGTGCAGGGTGTGCAGGGCATCAAGCTTGGATAGCAGAGATTTAACATTATTTTGTTTGGTTTCTCTCAAATTTACCCTCTCTTTTGCAGTTTCCTTTTGTTGAGTGGCCTCTTTCATGCTTATAGGACAAAGGCTTGAGATTAATTTTAGCGTAAGAAAATAAATCCATGCCATTAGTGTTATTATTGCGATTTCTTATTTTGGTACTCATTTTCCTATCCAACTGTCTCAGAAACAGAATGCGATTCCTCCGGTGATAAGAAATCAGTCTCATTTGTACCAAAATATGATAACGCGAAATAAAGAAACTTTCAACCCCCCAAGAAGAGTTAATTCTCCTTTCCCCCATCCCCCAAATAAACCAAGTTAAGATCCTCCACCCTAGCGCTATATTTAATTTAAATTTGCTAAGCGCTGCATGTAAAACGCTCGATTCTGATGTTAACTTGGTTCCCCCTCCCCCAAAGTCGGCTCTTTTCCAGTTCCCCCACCTTTCAAAATACCGAGTTTTATGTTTATTTTACGTGTTCAGAACAAATGAAAAGACGAGCTTGTCGCGGTAGCTTGGTTTCTCCGCTGGCAAACCCTTTCCGTTGTACCGCATGTGAAATGCGTTTCATAAGGGAAGTACATTATATCAAACAAGTGAGAAATAGACACGGAAGGATAACGACGACGCCAACATTAAATCAGGCCATAAACAGTCTGAATAGGGTTGCGCGGACTTACTTACTAGTAAGTAAGTTACCAGTAAATGTACTAGTAACTTACTAGTAAGCAAAATAAGGCTTATTACTAGTAAGTGCATGGTGTGCAGGGCATCAAGCCTGGATAGCAGAGATTTAACATTATTTTGTTTGGTTTCTCTCAAATTTACCCTCTCTTTTGCAGTTTCCTTTTGTTGAGTGGCCTCTTTCATGCTTATAGGACAAAGGCTTGAGATTAATTTTAGCGTAAGAAAATAAATCCAGGCCATTAGTGTTATTATTGCGATTTCTTATTTTGGTACTCATTTTCCTATCCAACTGTCTCAGAAACAGAATGCGATTTCTCCGGTGATAAGAAATCAGTCGCGTTTGTACCAAAATATGATAACGCGAAATAAAGAATCTTTCAACATCCCAAGAAGAGTTAATTCTCCCTCCCCCCATCCCCCAAAAAAAACCAAGCTAAGATCCTCCACCCTAGCGCTAAATTTAAATTAAATTTGCTTGGCGCTGCATGTAAAACGCTCGATTCTGATATTAACTTGGTCCCCCCTCCCCCAAAGTCGGCTCTTTTCCAGTCCCCCCCCCCCCACCTTTCAAAATACCGAGTTTTATGTTTATTTTACGTGTTCAGAACAAATGAAAAGACGTGCTGGTCGCGGTAGCTTGGTTTCTCCGCTGGCAAGCCCTTTCCGTTGTACCGCATGTGAAATGCGTTTCATAAGGGAAGTACATTATATCAAACACGTGAGAAATAGACACGGAAGGATAACGACGACGCCAACGTTAAATCAGGCCACAAACAGTCTGAATAGGGTTGTGCGGACTTACTTACTAGTAAGTAAGTTACTAGTAAATGTACTAGTAACTTACTAGTAAGCAAAATAAGGCTTATTACTAGTAAGTGCATGGTGTGCAGGGCATCAAGCCTGGATAGCAGAGATTTAACATTATTTTGTTTGGTTTCTCTCAAATTTACCCTCTCTTTTGCAGTTTCCTTTTGTTGAGTGGCCTCTTTCATGCTTATAGGACAAAGGCTTGAGATTAATTTTAGCGTAAGAAAATAAATCCAGGCCATTAGTGTTATTATTGCGATTTCTTATTTTGGTACTCATTTTCCTATCCAACTGTCTCAGAAACAGAATGCGATTTCTCCGGTGATAAGAAATCAGTCGCGTTTGTACCAAAATATGATAACGCGAAATAAAGAATCTTTCAACATCCCAAGAAGAGTTAATTCTCCCTCCCCCCATCCCCCAAAAAAACCAAGCTAAGATCCTCCACCCTAGCGCTAAATTTAAATTAAATTTGCTTGGCGCTGCATGTAAAACGCTCGATTCTGATGTTAACTTGGTCCCCCCTCCCCCAAAGTCGGCTCTTTACCAGTTCCCCCCCCCCCCCCACCTTTCAAAATACCGAGTTTTATGTTTATTTTACGTGTTCAGAACAAATGAAAAGACGTGCTGGTCGCGGTAGCTTGGTTTCTCCGCTGGCAAGCCCTTTCCGTTGTACCGCATGTGAAATGCGTTTCATAAGGGAAGTACATTATATCAAACACGTGAGAAATAGACACGGAAGGATAACGACGACGCCAACGTTAAATCAGGCTACAAACAGTCTGAATAGGGTTGTGCGGACTTACTTACTAGTAAGTAAGTTACTAGTAAATGTACTAGTAACTTACTAGTAAGCTAAATAAGGCTTATTACTAGTAAGTGCAGGGTGTGCAGGGCTTTAACATTATTTTGTTTGGTTTCTCTCAAATTTACCCTCTTTTGCAGTTTCCTTTTATTGAGTGGCCTCTTTCATGCTTATAGGACAAAGGCTTGAGATAAATTTTAGCGTAAGAAAATAAATCCAGGCCATTAGTGTTATTATTGCGATTTCTTATTTTGGTACTCATTTTCCTATCCAACTGTCTCAGAAACAGAATGCGATTTCTCCGTTGATAAGAAATCAGTCGCGTTTGTACCAAAATATGATAACGCGAAATAAAGAATCTTTCAACATCCCAAGAAGAGTTAATTCTCCCTCCCCCCATCCCCCAAAAAAAACCAAGCTAAGATCCTCCACCCTAGCGCTAAATTTAAATTAAATTTGCTTGGCGCTGCATGTAAAACGCTCG